TACAGAAGTGAATGCAAACTCTTTGGGGCCTTTCTACATGGAAGCTGGGGGCAAAAGGCTGACATGGAACTGACTCAGCCAACATCTGGGTTATGGAATCTGAATAGTGCAGTAATGGTGGAAAACTTCCAGAGGTGGGATTTCAAAACTGCTCAGTATTGGTCTGACTCTGCTCCCATCCAAGTCAACGGGAGCCTTACAGTGGTCTCCAATGAGAGAGTGTAATAAGGCTTTTGACAATCCCACCCACACAGCTACAGGAGTCTTATCCACACCCTCAGAGTTCCCACTCTGACCCATTGTGTCACTCTGCAGAAAGGACACAATCCTGTACCCATCAATGGCCATGGCAAATAACCCAGGGGCTTCCATGGGAGCAGGATCCAACTTGAAGCCGCAGCTGAGAGGCTGACCAATGAGGAGTTGATTCAGTGGTGAGCTGCCAAAATGTTAACAACGGGTTCCCTCCTCATCCCACAAGGGGGTCGTTGCCCACCCCCACCCCCCGGGACTCCTGCCCCATCCAATCCCCCCCGCGTTCCTTGACATCCCCCGCAGGACCCCTGCCCCATCCACCCCCCTCCCCTGTCCCCTGACTGCCCCCAGAACAGGGCAGAAGGGTCTCATGGGCCACCGTAGTGGGTGCCCACCCCACCCCTAAGAGCCAGAGGCACCTGCCGGGGGGTGAGGTGGGGAGTCCTGGCGGTGCTTACCTGGGGCAGCTCCCAGGAAGCATCCAGCAGGTCCCTCTGGCTCCTAGGGGTGGGGGAGCGTAGCTAGGGGGGAGCAGGGGGAGCAGCCTCTCCCCCCACTGATCACATTAAAAGTGGCGCCTTAGGCGCTGACTCCCTGGGTGCTCTGGGGTTGGAGCACCCATGGGGAAAATTTGGTGGGTGCAGAGCACCCACCGGCAGCTCCCCGCCCTGCGCCCGGCCCCAGCTCATCTCCACTCTGCCTCCGCCTCCTCCCCTGAACGCACCGCCCTGCTCTGCTTCTCCGCGCCCCCCCACCCCAGCTTCCCGTGAATCAGCTGTTCGGCAGGCAGCCGGGGAGGACTGAGAAGCAGGCCGCGGCTTCACACTCAGGCTGAGGGTGGCGGAGGTGAGCTGGGGCGGGAGCAGTTCCCCTGCGCACCCACCCGGGTTACCTGCTGCGGCACAGGTGGCCCTCCTCGTGTGCCCCCCTCCCTCCCCTGAGCTCACCTCCGCCTTCCTGGGCCAGAGCGGGAAGCCACTGCTTGCTTCTCAGCCTGCCCTGGCTTCCCGCGCAAACAGCTGATTCGCGGGAAGCCTGGGGGGGCAGAGAAGCAGAGCGGGGCGGTGCGTTCAGGGGAGGAGGTGGAGCGGAGGTGAGGTGAGCTGGGGCCGGAGGTGGGGTGGGGAGCTGCTGGTGGGTGCTCTGCACCCACCAAATTTTCCTCTTGGGTGCTCCAGGGCTGGAGCACCTGTGGAGTCGGCGCGTAAGGCGCAACTTTTGGCCTGTTAAATTTAGAAGCCCTTTTAGAACCGGTTGTCCCTTGTGGAACAGCCGGTTCTAAAAGGGCTTCTAAATTTAACAACCGGTTCTAGCGAACTGGTGCGAACTGGCTCCAGCTCACCACTGGGTTGATTCATAAGAATGGCCATACTGAGTCAGACCAATGCTCCATCTAGACCAGTATCCTGTCTTCTGACAGTGGCCAGTACCAGATGCTTCAGAGGGAATGAACAGAACAGATTAATTATCAAGTGATTCATCCCCTGCCATCTAGTCCCAGTGTCTGGCAGGCAAAGATTTAGGGACATATGGAACATATAGTTGCATACCTGATCATCTTGGCTAATAGCCATTGATGGACCTATCCTCCCTGAACTTGTCCAATTCTTTTTTGAACTCAGTTATACTTTTGACCTACACAACATCCCCTGGCAATGAGTTCCACAGGTTGACTGTGCGTTGTGTGAAGAAGTACTTCCTTATGTTTGTGTTAAACCTGTGCCTATTAATTGCATTGGGTGACCCCTGATTCTTGTATTATGTGAATGGGTAAATAACACTTCTCTATTCACTTTCTCCACACCAGTCATGATTTTATAGACCTCTAACATATCCCCCCTCAGTCATCTCTTTTCTAAGCTGAACAGTCCTTTTACATCTCTCCTATATGGAAGCTGTTTCATACCCCTAATCATTTTATTGCCCTTTTCTGTACCTTTTCCAATTCTAATTCACCTTTTTTTGAGTTGAGGCAACCAGAACTGCATGCATAAGATATGGGCCTACCATGGCTTTATATAGTGGCATTATGATATTTTCTGTCTTATTATTTATCCCTTTCCTAATGGCTCCTAACATTCTGTTAGCTTCTTTGACTGCAACTGCACATTGAGCGGATGTTTTCAGGGAACTATCCACAATGACTGCAACAGCTAATTTAGATCCTTCATTTTGTATATGTAGTTGGAATTACATTTTCCAATGCACATTACTCTGCTTTTATCAACATTGAATTTCATCTGCCATTTTTCTTGCCAAGTCACCCCGTTTTGTGAGGTCCTTTGTAACACTTTGCAATCAGCTTTAGACTTAACTAGCTTGAGTAATTTTTTATTGTCTGCAAACTTTGCCACCTCACGGTTTACCCCTTTTCCCAGATCATTTATGACTATGTTGAACAGCACTGGTCCCAGTACAGATCCTTGGGGGACCCCCTATTTACCTCTTTCCACTGTGAAAACTGACCATTTATTCCTACCCTTTGTTTCTTATCGTTTAACCAGTTGCTGATCCATGAGAGGTCCTCTTATCCCAGGACCGCCTACTTTGCTTACGAGCCTTTGGTGAGGGATCTTGTCAAAGATTTTCTGAAAGTCCGAGTAAACTATATCCACTAGATCACCTCTGTCCACGTTTGTTGACCCCCACTCAAAGAATTTTAATAGATTGGAGAGGCATGATTTCCCTTTACAAAAGCCTGTTAACACTTCCCCAATTTATCATGTTCATCTATGTGTCTGATAATCCTGTTCTTTACTATAGTTTCAACCAATAAGCCTGGTACTGAACTTAGGCTGACTGGCCTGTAATTGCCAGCATCCACTCTGGAGCGGTTTTTAAAAATCAGCATTACTTTAGCTATTCACCAGTCAGCTGGTACAGAGGCTGATTTAAGCAATGGGTTACATACCACAGTTAGTAATTCTTCAGTTTCATGAAAACCATCTACTCCTGGTGATTTATTACTGTTTAATTTATCAATTTGTTCCAAAACCTTCTCTACTGACATATCAATCTCGGACAGTTCCTCAGATTTGTCACCTAAAAAGAACAGCTCAGGTGTGGGGATCTCCCCCATAACTTCTGCAACAAAGAATGATGCAAAGAATTAATTTAGCTTCTCTGCAACAGCCTTCTCTTCCTTGCGTGCTTCTTTAGCACCTCGATCGTCCAGTGGCCCCACTGACTGTTTGTCAGGCTTCCTGCTTCTCATGTACTTAAAAATTCTTTTCAAAGATTCTTTTGCAGCTGTTCACCTTGCTTTGCCCTTGAGCTTCTTGTGCTATTTTTGACAGCTCACACCAGCTGCCGTGCTCTCCTCCTTCAGCAGGAAAAAGGGGAAGGAAGGAAGGAATGGGCTTAATGAGCATGGAACTACTGCCTTTAAAACAATGCCAGTAAAGTCACTGGAGACGCGAACTGGAACTGAACTGGCCAGGGCACAGTGGGAGGAGCAAGCTGGCCTGCAGCACCCCTGCATCCTGCAGCCACTCTAATACCAGCTATTCTGAGGGGCTTTTTTTGGACAGTTTCTAACTGCAAATGAAATCTGAGTCTGAAACAACCAAAGGGAGACTTTCCTGTGTTCTCCTGGGCCAGACCCCTGGTAAGCTTCACCTCCCAGGGCCTCCTAAGGGGTCTGGCCAGAATCTTTCCCTAGCGCGAGGTTAATTCAGAAACCATAAAAGGCCTCATTTGCTAATTTACACTAATTTTACACCGATGTAACTCAACCAGCTTCAGTGGAGTTACTCCTGATTTACACGAGTATGATTTACTCCTGATTTAGACTTGGACCATCGTCTCTCTGCTCTACACACCTCTGTGCACTAACCCCGCTGTCCTCTCCCGCTATCTGAAGGACATGATGCAGGGTTGGTGCTTGAAGGAGGAGTGGCTAGCTCCTGGGGGTGAACCTGGAGCAAGCCTGGGCGTTGTACATAACCAGACTCACAAGAGTGACCCTTGGACAGAGGCTGGCTCCTCTGCCCAGTGCAGGTGGAGGGCAGGGGAAAGTGAGAGAAGGGGAGATGCTGGCATGGCAGGGAGCTGCTCACCAAGAGCCACAGGGACCGATGATTAGTGCTAGGGTAATACAGGGGGCAGATCCTCAGCTGGTATAAACTATCATGAAGCAATGGGAGGTAAAGCTCACCAAGGGTTTACAGTGCTGAAATCAGGGCGAATTCCCAGGCAAGGCCTAAGTCAGCACACATAGCGTCATGCTTTGCAGAGTCTTTCATCCGACAATCTCACAAGTCTTCACTGAGCCTCACGATGCCCATGTGAGGGAGGTAGAGAGTACTATACCCATTTTACATATGGGGAAACAGAGGCACAAAGAACTGGAAGCAAATGGACCAAGATAACACAATATGTCTGTGATAGCTGAGAATAGAACTCCGGGGCCCTGACTCCTCATCCTCCAGACTACACCGTTTTCCAGGAGAGTGGCAGGGTACAGCAGAGAGACCTGAATGTGAGGACAATGGGAAACCAAAGTGAAGCGTCTTGCTCCTACAGACATTTCTATGGGCTCTCACACAGCAATCCCAACAGCCACAGCCTAATGGTTCGAACTAACCCTTGGACGCCTGGAGGTACAGCGTTCCCGTGCAAAGTGCCAAGGCAGCACGGATTCTTACACACAAATAACAGCCCCTCAGACAATGCCAGCCTGCTCCCAGAGGGGTTCCCACTCTACTGGCTGGGATCATTTCTTTGGGTATCAACATGGCACTTACCTTTGCAGCTCTTTCAAAGAAACTGTGACTTTCAGACTGTGTCCCAGAAGGAAGAGGGCAGCTAAGATATCTGCCCATTGGACCATCTCGCCCAGAGGTCCCCCCTTCAGCACCCTGGGGCTGAAAACATCCCCTGACTCCTCTGTCAGGAAGCCGATGTGAATCAAGATCTAGAGAGAGAAGGAGAGAGGCTGATGCTCTTGTGACCCAGGCAGCATGGAATGTGGCTATCTAGGAAGCACTCAGACATGAGGATGGTGTGCAACAGAAACTACACAGGGAGCCAAACTCTAAGGCCCTCACTTGGGTTTTACTCAGTCTTCACCCAGGCAAAACTCTCAGGCTGATTCTTCCAAACGTGGGTGCACAACTAAATCCATGTTTTGGCATCAAAGCAAGAAGCCTGCTCTTCAGAGGTGGCCAGCTCCTGCAGCCTGCATGGACTTCCATGGGCATTGTGGGTGCTCAGCGCCGGTCGGGGTCAGGACCATTGACTGCAGTGGGAGTTTTGCCTGGGTGATGAATGAGAACGTGCTTCAGCATTTGGCCCATGGACTTTAGGATCGGTGACTGACTTACACAAGGAACAAGAAGCCTCGGAATTGTCTGTCTCTACGCTCAGCCTAGTGCAGATGGCTGGAATGCTGACCTGGTCTGCACTTCCCCATGAATGACACCTACAGCCGTCTCCCCAGCAACCTCCGAAGGCACAAGCAGTATGTGGCTACCAAGTCCATACCAGCCACTCAGTCTGACTTTCAGCTCAGCAGAAGCTGGGGGCTGAGGTATTCTGAAGGTAGTTGGGAGACTTGCACATGATCCGATAAGGCCGACCAAACTCATTTCCCCGATGGACATAGGCTAGCCATGAAGGGGATTTCCGTACATTAAAGTGCCCTTTCCCAGCTCATCCCGCACAGCCTCCAGTTTACTGCCGTACCGTTAGTGCAACTGGTTCTGGAGGCAAATGCAAAGGACGCATCAGCCCAGGCCTAATTCTCCCTAAGTTCATCTTTCACCTGTTTTTGATCCCTCCGTCTGCCCTTCAGTTTCTGCGCCAGGCTACGGGTCGCCAGAAGCCACTGGGAGGCCAAGTGCCGGACTCTCTTCTTCATAAAGATTAAGGATTCCTTGCCACTCCCGATCAGCTCAAGGAGGTAAGAGAGGTTGTTCCGAAAAGCTGCCTAGGTAAAAAAAAAGAGCCTGCTTTTTTGGATATGTCTACACAACGAGCCGGGGTGTGAGTCCCTGCTCGTGTATTCATCCAACCTCTCCTCACACTAGCACTCAGAGAAACAGCAGTGTAGCCGCAGCAGTGCGGATAGCAGCGGTGAAGGCAGAGCCAAGCCGTGCTGAGTACAACCCCGTCTGAAACTGGCCTGGCTGGCTCCTTTCCTGGAGCAAGTGCAGTCATCCTCTCACTGACCTGTCCGAAACACATGGGCAAGGTGATCTGAGCAGTAAGGGAAGGTCAGCCCTTAGGTGTTACACAGAAGGAACTGCACCCTTGATTGGCATCAGCTCCCCACTTTGGCTGTGTCAGGGGAGAGTCAGGGAGAAAAACAGACTTGCGGAGCTGGCATGGGTCTTGGGCCCTGCAGGGAGCGAGGTGAGATTAGAGGAGGAGAGCAAGAGAAAAGTCTCGACTTCAGGACAGTCCTGATTTAGGTGGAAGCCTAGGCCGCCCAGCCTATGGCTAAGTGGGACTTCTTCTTGCTGGGCCATAGTCTCCTCCAGAAGTGTCCATGGGACCCTGGAAGTAAATGGACACTCCATTGCTGAAATTACAGGCAGAGCCATGGTGACGGCTGAGAGCTCCAGTATCTTCGGGTGAAAGATTTGGCAGGTGAAGTATTTAAAATCTCCTATAGAGATTACGCCAGAGCAAAACCTCAGTGTCCCCACCCCACTAACTGACTGGGGTCTCCTGACTATCTGCTGACTCCCCCAAGGATACATAAAATCTTTCCCTGGCACTGCAGGCTGCAGAAACTTACATCCATGCATGGAAACATCTCTAAGTGGGCAACGGTTGATCACTGGCACCACTGATCAAGTGCACTCAGGAGAACACAGGTCAATGTAAGAGGGCTATGCTAGGAAACTAGTCTCAGCTTTTACTGTAGTGGTGCTACGGCCCGACTGTGATGCTGGAAGAATGTCTAGTGTTAAGGTTAGAGAGAAATGCATGTGTTTGGGGTTTACAGTGCCACAATCTCACCCAAACAAATGCTAATCGATCTCCAGCCTGGCATGGATGTAGGCACCATGCGTAATACAAGGCTCTTTGCACGGATAGACCCCCCAATACAGATTTTCTTCCGGCACCATTTGTAGCTCGTGACCTTTCTCTATCTCTTGCCTGGAGTCGTTGAATCCAGCAGCCCACAGAAGAATACACCTAAAGGAGGGCACTGGGTTGGCACACAGACCCGCACTGCCCTTACCTGCACTCTGGGCGGTGGCTTTGAGGAAGGCATGGCTGCCGTCTGATTTCTCCAAGGCAGCGGAGGACAAAACCACTCAACTTCGCTGAGGTAGATGAGGAACGAGCATTCTGTGCCGTCCACGCCAAAAAATGCATAGCAGGGGTCGGACGTCCACCTGGCCCTCATCCACTGCAAGACAAAGATTAGCAGGGCAAAAACACAGATTAGAGGGGAGAGCTCTGCAAATCCCACTCCTGGAGAACTGTGCTTCAGGCATCTTGTGCAGAAATCTAAGGATGCTCTTACTCCACAGAGATAACACTAAGCGGCCACTGTGAACCCTGTCACATGCAACCTTCCAGACCTTTCTACGTGGAACCTTGGGGGCAGGGGGAATAAAATGGAAGGAGACCCACAAAGACTTATACTTCTCACATCAAACAGCACTAATGGCTCACTTCCAAACATGGGCACCACAGAAGGATACACATTTGACCTAGGATTATTAGCCTCCACAGTAAAACTAGGTTCACACAAACACAACTGCTTTGTAATCAGCTTTGCCATAAAAATATAAGTGGGAAAGGAGTGTTGGCATAGAGGCCTCAGGTTCTATTTCCGTTCCATCTGCTTTCTCCTATCTACACAACAACAAGATCCCACGGCACTTTCCCATGTGAGTAGCAGTTTGTCACACTATCCTTGGCCATATTTCCTGGGCCATAACTTATGCATAACTGCCATGCTGGCAGCCTGGTTTATCCCTACAGTGTAAGTTTCCAGGAACATGTGGCTTGCTAAGGACTGAATAAATCATTCCTTAAAATGTAAATTTATTTAACTATAAGACTGTAATACTTTGTCCTACCCGCAGGGGTAATGTATAGGACCACGCTTCTAGTACTAGGACTGGCTGGAAAACCAGAATTCTGTTTTGTGAAAAATGTCAAGGTTTTGACATTTGTTATCGTTCCACATCGGAATGAAAAATGAGACCTTTCAAAACATTTCATAAAAACCCACAAGAGACCTAGATCTGAATAGCCAATACCCCAGTGTTTAGGGCACTCAGCTGGGAGGTGGGAAGCCCAAGTTTAAATCCCTGGTCTGTCTGTCTTTACTTTTAACCGGAAATTTCATCCTGAATCTGAGAAACCTTCCCAACAAAAGTTGCAATGAAAACAATATGCTTCCACGAAAGTTTCAGTTTTGATCAAAAAAAAGTTTTGTCAAAAAATTCCCATCCAGCTCTTATTAACGCATTATCAGTGATGCATACCATAGAAGGCATTTAACGTTACTGTTGTGCATAAGTATAAAACATTGTCTTTCCAGTGGCATTACTGACATCATAGCCCAGAGCCTTAGCTGGTGCAAATCAGTGTAGATCCATGGACAAAGCCACCTACTTGAAATCAATGAATCTATGCTGAGTTACGCCAGCTGAGGATCTGGGCCGTGGTCTTTACAGAGTGTTTGGTCGGGACCTCCTCAGCCATCACACTGGGAAACTAAAGGTCGAACACAGAGAATTTGAACTGACAATGCCTTCTTGATTTGAGGTTACACTCAGCTTTGTCCGGAAAATGTGAGGTCTCCAGTGATGCAACCTGGAACAAGGGGCGGGGAAATTCAAAATAATGATATACCATGGTGCCTCCTTCTTCCTGACCAGTGAACTGACCTCCAGGTTTCATAAACTCTGGGAGAATGGGGAGCCGAGAAGACAGAGATCTACTAGACTTCCCAGAGAGTGATTTTGCATGCAAGAGAAGACACTCAGGACCTCAGCGCATATCTCTCATCCTCTAGAATTTGCTTGTGCCAGCCTCTTTCTATATTTAGCTACAAAAACGAATCCACTCAGGAGACAGGTCTCCATGCCCAATATTTAAAACTCACCAATCATCCAGACAGGAGATCGCATTACTGCTTTTGGTGATTCAATTACAATTTAACCAAGGCATGGAAGAAGATGGAAGAAAATGATGGTTAGCACTGGGAAAATGGATAATGTAATTGTGCTGTCCTATTAATAAGCTCTTTAATATTTTTTCACGTGGACTCAGGAAGGCATAATTTTAAGTGAAGCCTGAAGTAGGAAGCTGGGCGAGCTTTTAATTAGTTTGTGTAAAGTTACTGTCTGCCAAAGCAGCATCCTGCCCCAGGCCAAATGCCAAAGCTATGCTCATGTGTAGAGAGCAAGTTGTGTTAAGAGTTGAGACCAGTGTCACATTACCTTAATGAGATAGAATGTCCTTTGTGATGCCTAAATTATTTCCCAGACACCCGATAATGCTCCAAATTTTTTAAAAAATACATGTGATGGTTCTTTCCCTTACATGGCTTCATGCTTAAATAATTCACCAAGAAATAAAGGCAGGGCCATATTAATCATGGAAACCCAGTGGGCTGTAGACAAAGGATGCCCATTTCTTTGTCCACTCTCAATGAGTTGCTTTGTTCTGTGCTCTCCCTCCACAACACGCGGACCACGTGCACTGCTGCCAGATCCTCTAGTGAATGGGAGCATTATGTTCTCTCCTGTGTGAAGGGTAACTGAGCCAGATATAAGTTTACACAATGAGAGAGAGAGAGAGAATTCTACTTGGTTTTAAAGGGATCAGCAGCCATTTCCTAAACCATCCACCCTTTGGATTGCTGTTTCTCCAGTTTTACCCTGGCAATTGCTTTGCACAGTTGCCAACTTTCACGTGGTAAAAAAGCACCCCGACTTTCACAATAAGCTAAAAATCAAGCTAATCCCATTTCAAAACAAAGCCAAAACAAGCCAATCCCTAAGAACACCAACACTCTATGTGACTAGATTCTCCCGGCGTACAGTTTGGGACTGTGGTGGGCCCGTTGTGTACCCCTGACTCTCTCTCCCTCCCTTGATTGCCCCCCCCCGCCCCTGCTTGCCAGGAGCTGATCCAAAAAAAGAAGCAACAAGCTACAACAAGCAACAAGCCAAAAACTAGCCAACAAGAAACTCACAAGCCAATTAAGCCAAAAACAAGCCCAATTTCTGCATTTTTTTTGTGGGTTTGGCATGTCTGTTGCTTTGTTACCATTGGCAATGGCTTCCATCCAGGTTTTAATTTTTGCCCCAACCATTAAGACCTATTTTTAGAGGAGGACAGTGGGGGGAAAAATTAACTCACCAGGCCCTGAAGTACAGTAGAAGACACTACTGTCCATAGCATTATGAAAATCTCTACTTAGAAGGGGAAAGAGGTACCATGCCCATTGGTAGCTGGTGAGCTGATCCCAGGAAGAGGGTTCACAATTTTATTCATAAAAATGGAGATTAACCCAGTCTGCACCTAATGGGAAAGAAGATCTCTATCCCTTCCTGGCTGGCGTTGGGTAAGAGTGTTGTTAGGATGGAAATGGCACCTCTCGCAGTCCTTGGCTTTCTTCTGACCATAGGAAACCACCTCAAAATCAGTTTTGATGTGTCTGCTGTGAGATGACTCACCTCCACTTTTCCAGAGCAGTCAGGGTATTTGGGGTCTCTGGGCACCTCACACTGGTCCCGTCTGCCTTCTATCACTGTGGAAAGAGAATTTAGATACAGGGAGAAGTAGAAAACTTTTAGAATAGTGGAAACTCTAGAACTGGGGGGCAGGACACTGATCTGTGGTCAAGGTTTGCCATTCAGTTTTCACCACCCAAAAATCAATCCTTCCGACTTGATGCAATTGAGCAGCTGTAAGTGGTGCATGTGACAAAGGAACAAGCCTCCTCTAAAACACCCTGCCAGCTTGAATGAGCCTGAGTGAAACTTGTGGAGTAGGGAAATATTCACATGCAGTTATACCCGTTTATAGAATTACTGGAATTTATTGGAACACTGCAAGTACCAGCTCCAGCACAGACACATAACTGAACGTCCTGCTAAAACTCCCAGATCAGATACAACAACATAAAAACATAGAAGACAAAAGCTTAACATTGAGATAAAGATACAGCACCACCTGTTGGTGGAGGTGCATTACAATACCCATTTTCCAGAGAGAGAAACTGAGGCACAGAGTGGTAACGCGACTTGCTCCAGGTCACAGAGGAAGTGCTGTAGGAGCCAGGAGTCCTGATTTTCAGTCCCTGCTCTAAATGCTAGATGACATTTCCCTTATATTGGCTTTTTTCGTTTGTTTGAGTTGATGCTTCTGTTGGCTTGTATTTCTGCTGTTCTTTCAGCCCAAATTCCAGGGCATTTTCTAGAGGGAGAGTGACTCCAGTTCCAGATCCAACCTCTGATCACTCCCTGTACATTCTTTTAATAATCTGTAAATAGGCTTCTGTATCTAAGGCCGTACTCGACAGCCTTCCAGGCACAAACTGTAAAATTGCAACAAACAGTCCCACTGAGCTGTCAAACATAGAGCTCGCCCCTGGGGCTAGTGCTGCCAACACGTTCAGGTCAATTTGTGCTCTCAGAATAGCTTACACACACACAGAGTAGGAGTTCTGAAGCAGGCACTGACAAGCAACGCAGAGTGGGTGTAAATCACCAGACCTCCAGTGGGACACATACACTCTAGCAACCTGCCTAGAGAGAGGCCACCCAACTAACTAATGGTGTTATTAGTCCAGGATATATTTTAACTGCAGGTGGGTCCAAAGAAGCAATGTGCACTCTCTTTAGGCTTTGGGCTCAGGGTTTGGGTTCATGGCACAATCGGGGCTGATGTCTGGGTTTGTAGCCTATGCTGCCAAAATCTTCCAAGCTATTCTTGCATGATTTAAGCCCCAAATGGTAGAACTCCTGCAAGAACTGATCTTGGGGAATTTCTGACATCTTGAATTATAGAAGTCTCATGAGACAAGCTGTTCTCATATTTCAGCATTATCTGAAGCAGAAATTTGGCCCCTTCTGATTTTGGATACAACAATCTATCTATCAAAGTTTTTATACTGACACCCCTCACTGCAGGTCACTGAGGACTTTCCAAGTATTAAAAATACACAACAGTAATCTCATTTTTTTCTTCCCTGGTAGGTAGGAATAAAATGCTTGAGGGGGAAAGTGGGGGGTACTTATAATGTGAAGGTTAGACTGAAACTGAGTTTGGTATTTAACTCTGAGTGTGATTAGATCCATGGTCATTCCTATCCCTTGTGGAACTGAGTTTCACAGACTAGGTTTTGCTCCTCTGAAGTTCTGTCTCCTGCATGCTCAAGTCTCCCGCTCTTGGGTGATTCAGTAGACTGTCATTGTCGTGAGAGACCAGGGCCTCTTATACACAGTTTCCCTTCCCAGAATTCCTTGCAGTAAGCCTGTAAAACCTACAGGTCTCATCAGCCCTGGGAACTACTACTCCCAGAATTCCTCAAACCAGGGCCTAATCCAGGAACAGGGCAGAGTTGGACCTGAACCCCTTCTAAAAGGGTCACCTAACTTTTTGGGTATATCTACACTACGAGGTAGGGGTGTGATCCCCAGCTGGCACACACGTACTCACACTAGCTCTCATCTGAGCTAGCAGTAGCCCAGGCAGCAGCAGCATAGCCTACGCCCAAATTGGTACCCGCAGAGTTCGTGTTTGTTTGTACTTGGGACGACTAACTTGAGCCATGGCTGCTGCAGCCCATGGCACCACAGCTGCACTACTATTTTTAGCGTGCTAACTCGATGAGCGCTGGTGCACATATATGTAAATGAGCTGGGAGTCACGCCCCTCCAGCTCTGACTGTAGATATACTGCTAGATAGATGATTTTGGTGTTGTGAGCGCCTGTTAATTAGGAAGTCTTCAAAGATGGCCAACTCATTTTTCACTGAGCAGCTATCAGATGGTAACAAGTTTCAGGCACTACCGATCTGGATCAAATTTGGACTGCCATCCATTATTTATAAGCCGAAGAGTAAAGAGAAGAAACAAGGCGGGGGTGCAATAAGATATGTATAACTTGCTCCGATTGTTTTCCTTAACATGCTGCCAACAGCCAGGCAATTACTCACGCTGTTAATGGTAAATAAGGTCTCTACTACCCCTGTTCATTAGGAATCCTGGCTCCATAATACAGATGGGCATTAAACATTGATATTAGGACATGAACGGACAATCTTTTACTGCCTCATCTACATCTCTCCTGGTGTCAGGGGGCCAGCCGGGGCTGTTCAGAGTATTGAGCTTCCATGGCTGGAGGAAGAAATATTAGCAGGATGATAAATATTTCATACTCCGGGGATGGGGTGACTGCAGGCCAAGGAAGCCAGCACTGATATGCTCTTGTGCCCATCACATTAATCTTGGGGTTTTTTTAATCAAGTGCATTTGCAATTTCTAAAGATATGGCTTCGATTCAGCAAGGCAATGGCTCCAGCTTCAAGAGAAAACAAAGGGGCGACAGTGTGATATGCAGTGATCCTGGATTGCTTTGTTAAAAGGTGTTTATTGAGAAGGTCACTGCAACACCCAGGCAGATCATCACCCTTCTAAGAAAAGCTCTTGCCTCATCCTCTCTCTCTGCTCCTTCCTGCTCAGGGAAGCTCTTTTGAGCTCCACCCCTTGGAGCTGAGCAGCGTGGGGGAGCAGGGCTGTGCAGCCTCTCTTGCAAGCCCTACTACCACCAAACAGCTCAGCCAGCTGGGCTTCAGCTGCTTCCATTCATTCAGATTGCTGCCCACACCAGCTGCAGATGAAAGACCCAGTGGATGTTCTAGTTGAAATCCTCAGCTGGCTCCACTTGGCCAACTAGGGTTTGGAACAGAAGTACAGGCCAGGCCTCTTTGGCTACTGCTTCCTGATATCAGTTCTCCAGAAGAAACCAAGACCAACTGGGGAATTCTAGGGGTGCCAACTGGAATTTGCACTATGGCAGGAAGGAGGGAGAGAGCTAAAGAAAGGAAGAAGGGGAAAAAAGGAATGAATGGGCAAGGCTTAAAAACAGGAATGTAAGTGCTCGCCCTCAGATACAAGACAAGGGTTTTGTATTGTGTCTACTGGGGATTATTGTCTTAGGTAGATTAATATTAAATAAATGCATTATAGCTGCCTGATTAAAAATGTCAATAAACGGCATTGGAAGCACAATAATGCATGCCAGGATGTGCATTTGCCAGCCAATGTACACACTCCAGGAGTGTGCTGTGGTATAAATTGCAGCAGAGTACCTTAGCACACCCAGGGTGCATGTAAATGACCTTATGAACATGCACCATGCCGTGTGTTAGTGCTTACTTAGAAAACGGCTTTGCAATTCCGAATACCGGTCTGACAAGCCACCATCTTGGTCAACACCCCGGGGATTGAATCAGGAACCTCCGAAGCTGAAAGCATAAACTGCTACAGCTTGGGCTAACATGTCAAGGCTTGCTAATGGGGACTGTAACAGACTCATTTCCTCTGAAGAACAGGCATAGAGGGGAACCTGTAACACGCTCACCAGCGGTTTACATCAGCTTTAGCATATAGTGCTTTACTCATTAATCCCCAAAGTCTCTTTGGCTCTATCCTAGTCTATTATTCCCATTGTACAGGTAGGAAAACTGAAACAGAGAGGTTAAATGACTTGTCCAAGGCCACCCAATGAGTCCAACTGGCTGTCAGAGGAGTGATATCACACCCATATCTGTAGCACCCAGTAAATGATAGATTTTTTGCTGATTTTTTGATAGATGCAAGCTAACCATCTCAGATCAAATAAAACCCCTCCCACCACTGATCTTTGGTCCAAAATGTGAATTGAACCAAAGTAAATAATTTGGGAGATTTGAAATATTCTGATGTGTTTCCTCCACGTTTTTCATTTTTTCTGTGCCTCTGCATTTCCGGCTTTTGGCCAGGCCCAGATCCAGACAGAGCTATGCCCAAATCCCACAAGACAGAGGGTTCCTCCTGGGGTCAGGAGATGATGGCTCAGAGGATCAGTACTAGGAGAGACAGTTTAATTCTGGACCAGCTCACTAGTATTTGAAAGCAACCAATGCTCAGTTGACACCACATAACTGTGATAGGCATCTTAGAAATCCCATGATAGAGCTATCTAGCAGCTGTTCAGAAAGTGAGAAATGAGTTGGGGGTCTTGGTCCAGTCCCCCTGGGCAGGTATCCACTACACCAATTACTGCCCTCTAGCATAGAAGATAAGGCCAAGATTTTCAGAAGTGCCTCAGTTTTTGAGACGTTAAAGCATCTGCTTTCTGAAAATCTGGCCCCTTTAAAAGTTATTTCAAGCAGGGCCTCCAAAAAATGAGAGACCCAAAGTCACTATTCCCATTGGAAAACCACAGCCCACATCTTGACTGAACGCCTCTTCCAGACCTAACTCCGGTCTCGCCAGGTGAGAGTTGAGGCACATTGATGATGCAATAGGTGCATTCAGCATTGCTCTGGCCAGTGCTGCTCCTATTCCGGAAATCCCCGCATTTCACTAGCACTAAATTCACACTGAGCCAGAATAAGTAGTAGCAGGAATCTTGTCAAACAGCTCATTTTCTTCAGATATCCAACCTAATTTTGCAGACACAAGTGATTTGGGTAACTTCAGCTCAGCATCCAAATTCCTGGATCCGTATCCAAACCTATTGCAGTTGGCTTGTTTCTACTTTTTCCCTACAACATCTGTACAGCACTTAAGAGTTCCTGAGGGTGTGAACCTGCCCAGCATATAGAATCAGTGTATGTGCAGAAACGTCAGGGCACTCTTACCTTTCCCATTCATGAGGCTGTTCCGGAGAATCTGATCTACTTTCACTGCAATGTCAGAGACATTCTGAGCAATAGCTTGGATCCTCTCCATCAAACCTGCCACTGGCTGGAACCTGCAAAGTAAATAAATAAACCCTGAGAACACAATTCCTTCCTGTAAGGCGTCCAAGCTTGTTAGAAAGAGCCAGGAGGGCTTTCTGCCCAAATAGCAGTCGTTCTTAGGTGGCAAAATAGGTCACCGAGGGGAACAGCACTGATGATGGATATAATGATGGACTAAACCTTCCATTACTTGCTCACTCACAAATTCCATTCGCTTCCATGAGAGCTTTGACTGAGGGAGGACTGCGGGATTTGGCCCATCGTTATTTCCCGCCTGCCCACACATGCGCTCACACACAAAATGCAAATGCTCATGTCTGCTGGGGAAACTTGTTTTGCCTAATTTCAAACTTTCTCAAACAGCCTGTGTCCGAAATTCCTTCCCGAAGGTCATTGGGCTTGTGGTCTGCATAGGGAACGCTGTAAAAAAGGATGTAGACAGGCCAAAATGGAGGGGGAAAAGGGGGAAAGTGAAGGAGAGCACAACCAGAGAGAGAGAGTGTGAGAAAGAGGTGAAGGAGCAGAGAAGGGCAAGAGAGAAGAAATGGCTACAATATATAGACCATACACAGGGCAACTGCTTGGATCAAATTGGCTTTGCGAGTGCTAAAACCAGCTTGAGAGCCTTAGCCACCACAAGATCCATCCCTCGCCCAATAGCTCAGCTGGTAACCTGAATGAAGATGCATTCCCACCTGGATGCCGTCACAAGGCATTCCCTGGGAAGTGCTTGTGTCACTAAAGAGCAGGGACATGACATTTTTGCTGTGGAGTTAAGTGGTTACCAGAATATGTTTAATCTTTGAACAAATAATTACTGGCCCCCAGGTGTAGTGACCTAGCAATCTATGAGAAGAAGAGGTTCTGATTATCATTCAGCCAGTGGAATTAGCCATGTAATCACGAGGCAGATGCTAGCAACTTGTGATTAAGCTATTTTGAGGAGAGGTGCGGGAAAAGGTCAGTCCTGCCCAGAGTACCCGCCCCTTAGTGAGGAATTACAGCAAGTCCCCCAGGGAGCATTCATCCTTCAAGCAACTGATGAGGAGCAGCAGACCTGGGTGTCTGGGCCCCAGGGAATGGAGGGATAATCTATAACAACCCCAGTGATCAGTGGGAAGGCTCATTTCTTGCTCCTCCTGGGTCGGATTCTGACACCCCGACTTGCAATAGGCCTCCTTCAGAAAAACACATAAGCATGTCCTCCACTTTAAACCCACACTTAAATTCCATTGATCTCAATGGAACTTAACCATGTGTTTAAGAGGTTTGCTGAATCAGGACCGGCAACCTGTACCATGCATGATCTACCAATGGTGCCATTGAAATCAATGGGCCTTATTCTCATTTACACTAAGGCCCCAATGCATTGCTTTGGCAATGTAAAGGCACCTTAAATGGATGGAAACAACAGAGCAGTGCATTAACCTTGTGCAACACACCCGAGGAGGACAGAATCTGATCCTCTGTGAAGTGTTGCTCCTGTGACACATTTGACGTGGGCCAATCTTTCCATTTCAAACGTTCTGCTCTCTGTTTCCACAGCAGATGATAATATCTTGATGAGCTTGAATACCACAGTAAATCATTTCTCCTTCCACAATGTTAAGGTGCTAAGATTTTTCTCCAGCTATGTAGATCGTTAAAAAAAAAAAAAGAAAATGTCATAACTTGTGAGTAAAACCAAAAGGGCAACCTTGAATTATCACAGAACGAAAATATGCCCTGATTTTGGGTCCTTCTCACTAAAGTTTTACATTTGTTCTCTAGTGGATCAGTGAACCAGAAGGCTAGGATTTAAAGTGCCTCTGTCGTCAAGGCTAAAAAACCCCACTAGTTTTATGAACCCACACTACTTCAGTTGTTGATTTAAAGGCTGTTCTCTAGCAGCAAACGACTCACATTTTTCCTTCCAGGATGGTTTATGACCATCGATATTGGGCCATCACACTTCCATAGGGGAAACCACATATCCTGACATGTAAAAAAAAAAAAACAAAAAAACCCTATTTAAAATCCAGAGGCTGTCACTCCCCAATGCGGTCACAAACCTGTGAAGGGATAACACAAGGGTCTAAATTATACCTGCCAGCTGTTAAAAATGCTAAAATCAAGAGATTCTTCCCGTGGTTTTGGCAACGTATCTGCCTACCAAAAGAACACAGGGCCAGAGCCTCAGCTGGTGTGCATCACCGAGGGTTCACTGACGTAAAATTCCCCTTGATCTTGACAAGGGTCGAGTTAGACAAGCTCGGAGGGCTTCTGAATAATCCACACTTAAATTGCAACCATTATCCAGTCATGGAGCAGAAATCATGCCATGGAATCATAGAAATGTAGGCCTGGAAGGAACCTTGATAGGTCATCTAGTCCAGTCCTCTGCACTGAGGCAGGATTAAGTATTATCTAGACCATCCCTGACAGGTGTTTGTCTGACCTGCTCTTAAAAATCTCCAAAGACAGAGATTCCACAGCCTCCCTAGGCAATTTGTTCAGTGCTTAACTACCTTGACAGTTAGGAAGGTTTTCCTAATGTCTAAGCTAAATATCCCTTGTTGCCATTTAAGCCCATTGTTTCTTGCCCTATCCTCACTGGTTAAGGAGAACAATTTATCACGTTCCTCTTTAGAACAATCTTTTATATACCTGACGACAGTTACCATGTCCACCCTGAGTCTTCTCTTCTCCATATTAAACAAACCCATTTTTTCCCAAGCTTTCCTCGTGAGGTCATGTTTTCTAGATCTTTCATCATTTTTGCCATGTGACCGAGGCAACCAACTACACACCACTGGTGGTGAACAGCTGAAAGTAACAGCTTGCAAACAAGCAGTAGATCACTCCAAGAATTCAGCAGTTACTTACAAATCATGGGCCCAATTCTCAGATGTGCAAAGGCCCATATGAACCTCGTGGATCAATCCACATGAGAACTCCTCTCATGTAAACCCTTCACAGTCTCAGGCAAGAGGCCCCGCCCCTGCCCTGCCCCTTCTCTGAGGCCCGCCCACTCCATCCCCCCTCTGTCATTCTCTCCCCCACCCTCACTCACTCGCTCATTTTCACTCAGGGCGGGAGGTGGTGAGGGCTCTGGCTGGGGATTCAGGCTCCAGGGTGGGGCCAGAAATGAGGGGTTCAGGGTATGGAAGGGGGCTCTGGGGTGGGGCAGGGTTTGGAGTGCGGGAAGGGGTGAGGGATCCGGGCTCTGTGGTGGAGCTGGGGATGAGAGATTTGAGGTATGGGAGGGGGCTCTGGGCTGGGTCTGAGGGGTTTAGAGTATGGGAGGGGGCTCTGGGCTGAGGGAGGGGGTTGGAGTGTGGGAGGGAGTATGGGTTCTGGGCTGGGGGTGAGGGCTCTAGGGTGCAGCCACAAATGAGAGGTTCAGGGTGTGGGAGGGGGCTCCAGTCTGGGACAGGGTGTTGGGTGCGGGGGAGGGCTCCAGGCTGGGGCTGAGGGGTTCAGAGTGTGGGAGGGGGTGTGGGGTGCAGGCTATGGGAAGGAGTTTGGGTGCAGGAGAGGGCTCAGGGCTGGGGCAGGGGGTTGGGGCACAGGAGGGGGCTTCGGGTGTAGGCTCCAGGTGGCCAAATTGGGGCAAGGAGTGGGGGTGCGGGCTCCGGCTGTGGGTGTGGGTTCTCGGGTGGGGCATGGGATGAGGGGTTTGAGGTGCAGGAGGGGGCTCGGGGCTGGGTCAGGGGTTTGGGGTGCTTGAGTGGGTGCAGGGTTCAGGCTCTGGGCGCTGCTTACCTCAGGTGGCTCCTGGGAAGGGCAACATGTCCCTTGGCTCCTAGACAGAGGCTCAGCCAGGCAGCTCTGCATGCTGCCTTCATCCGCAGGCACCGCCTCTGCAGCTTCCATTGGCTACGGTTCCTGGCCAATGGGAGCTGCGGTGCTGGCACTCGCGGCAGGGGCAGCATGCGGAACTCCCCTGGCCACCCCTAGGCCTAGGAGCCAGGGACATGTCACCCTTCCTGGGAACCACGTGAAGCCAGGTAGGGAGCCTGTCAGTCCCACCACCCAGACCTTTAACAGCCTGGCCAGCGGTGCTGACTGAAGCCGCCAGGGTCCCTTTTCAATCAGATGTTCCTGGTCACCTGGCAACCCTAGTCCACACAAATCAGTCTGACTCTGGTCAGCAAGTACTCAGGACCTGGGTCCTTGGACCCTGCTAGGAGGATGGGTCATAGCCTGAATCCAGCTGCGACTTGGATCCAAGCCCTTTCATTTTTCAATGTGAACTCAGCTCAAGTCACAGACCTCAGATGGAAGGTCTGCATGGTGCAGTATAGACACATTAGCATGACTATGATACCTAGGTCTGGCAAATTGTAAACCCAGGTTTACAATTCAGCGTGGATGCTCAAACATGGACTTGGAAACACCAACTCCATAAGACCAGGGCTTAGTGTGCACTGAGGACATACCCAAAGGCTTAAAGTCACCTTTGTCCTCCATCTCATCTCTTGTGATGAGCACAGCTCAGCCAGACCTGAGATATGGGGTCAACAAACACTTCAAATGAAATCAGGATCAGCTCCCAGATGAATCGCTAACCAGGAAAGTACTATAATAATGGGTCAGATTCCCAGCAGGTATAAATCCCATAACCCCACTGGAGTTAGTGGTGCTGTGGTTTACACCAGCTGAGGAGCTGGGCCAGTATTCATGCCCAATAGTTTGACTAACCCTACTAACCCGCAGCTGATCCTTTAACAAAAAGAACTGAAGTCAGAGATCTTGGATGTAAAATGTATGTTTGATTATCGCCCTCAAACAATGCTTGCATTTCTCTTTAAATATTTCTCTTTAGTTGTACTGCAAAGCTTTCCATGAAAGGTGCTAAGGAAATTTATGAGGAAATGTAAACTGAAGTGACTAGGATCAAGAAGGCAAATGAATATTCTCCTCACTTTAGCTATTTCGGAGTTGAAGAATGTCCGTCATGATTCTTGGAGTTTTGTCACATATTCAAGCAATGAACAATGGTTGAAAATGTTACTTTAAACCAAATAAA